ACAAAGGCACCCAGGAAAGAGCTTCATTATCATATCTGAGTTCAAAATGTACTGTAAATCAGTGGTGGCCAACCTTTTTAGTTGGACAACCAAATATTTTTTTCTTGATTGAATATTTCTTGATTTATGACCATACCATAAATATTGCTACTCAGCAGCTACTGGAAACAAAATATTGATTTAACACAGACTTAGATAGACTAGTGCGAGTGTTTGACAGGCCAGTTTTTGACCCACCCCCACCATGGGCCACTGTTGTACCATAAGCTAAGCATTGGCCACCACGGCTGTAATTGTATTAATAATAATAATAATAATTTTTGCATTTGATATCGCGCCATCGAGATGTCACAAAACACTTCACAGGATATACTCTAAAATGGATTGACTGTGTATTTTGTGGGCGAAACAAAATAATTTAATATATCATTTAATATACTTCAATTACACTCAGCTTGTTTAATCAGATTTTTGGTATAGCCAAACAGCATATGCACAGAATGTAGTTCGCCCGTGAGCATTTTTTTCAATCCAATTAGGTTAATTAAAGGGCATTATTATTATTATTATTATTATTATTATTATTATTATTATTATTATTATTTTCCGTTTCCAAAGGCCAGAACCTGAGATCAGAGACATATACAATATAAAACAGGATGATCTTCAATGAAAGAAATGCTGCATGCTAACAGTTAGGCTGGGGGAAAGCACTCCATGATTAAAAGGCTCATGTTTTTGTATTGAGTGACAAGTTATTCCTTACATTAAGCAAATCAGTGAGTTTTTCATTGATAATAATTTACAATTATATAGCACCTTTCTCATCACGGTGTTTTACCCAGCTGAGCAGGGAAGGAGAGCTGGGGGGAGGGGGGTAAATACAACTGAAAGTAAAGTTCCAAAGACAGATGGGTCTTCTGAGCATGTGGACTGGATTACCTAGTAGGGTGATGAAGGCAGAATCCTTATAAGGATTATTATTATCATTATTGAAGCAACTTCAAAAGGGAATGAGAAAAGCTATGTGGCAGTGAAATTCAGAGTATGAATGAGCAGTTGGGAGAGAGAACAGGCCACTTGTTTTAACCTCCAGATGGATGGAGCATAAAAGTCCTTTCTGGTCCTATACATTCTTACGTTTCTATATTATTAGCTTGATGCTTATTACTCTAACAGATGCACTTTTGAGCCTGCAAATTTATGTTGGTAACATTTCCACTCTCCAAGGCGGACTGGTGACATAGCAAGTGGTTATACTTAATCTGGCAGTATTTATTTGCAAATAGATTAATGAGAGTCCTACTGTTATAGCTGATAAGAGAATTGCACAGCGCTTTGGGATGGCCTCATGAAATGAAAGGCGCTATACAAATGTAATTTGTTGTTTGTTGTTGTTGTCTAGTTTCCTCTTGAAGGCGAATATGGATTCTGCTTCAATCACGCTCCCAAAAGGGTATTCTTTTTGTTTGGTCAGCCAGGTGTCTGACACACTGACACATGCAGAAACCCATCATCATGCTTAAGAGTATCCAGACCAAGCTGAGAATTCCATGTCAAAAGAAAGACTGCTTTAAATGATTGTCAAAAAAAAGGTTTGTGTCTAAAAACGGTGCCTAAAATGTACAGTATTATGTGCCTAAGAAGGTAACTATCTACAGAGGAGAATCATAACAAGAGCAAGACTACACAGGCTGAAAGAGGAGGTCAAACCAACCTAAAGGCTAAGAACAATTATTGTAATGTATGTAAGGAATTAAAAGTTAATGAGAAATTGGAGACATATTAAATTGAATCAAGGATGACTAAAAAGAATATTAGAAAGGGGTATGAGGGCAAATTAACAATAAATTATTGACACCAGCAACAATTTTTTTTAAAGTTTCATATATAGAGGATATAAGGCCATGTATTGTATATAAAAAAAAGCTTAAAACACTAAGGGGATAAGGGACTTGTCCTTTTAAGTTTGCTCATTTCCCCAAGAAATGGAAAATAAATGTCTTCAAAGATTGGTTATCTTTGACCTTTAGCATATGTCTTGTTCGGGCAGTCTTTGATTCTCTTTTTATTTCCTAAATTTGAACAGCATGTGGTCAAAATTGCATGAAACAAATGCAGCTTATTGAAACAATTCAAAAGTGAGCTATGAATTAACACAGCACCGATCACATGGCATTCTGCCGATCTTGAAATATTGAGAACATAAGGAAGCACATAATGAGAGAAGGTCTTGTCTTGGCTTGTCCCATCAGACCCACAATTACGCATTATCCACCCTAAGGTAGGTCTTCAAATAATTGTGTGACTCCTAAAAGGAATTGAACGAAACTCAAAGAAAGAATTTTTTTTGTATAGAACCTTATCACATCAAAATGCCTCAGAGTTCTTCACAAGTAACTACTGTCAAGTAAAGTGACTGTTTCTGTAAGCAGGAATATACGTTTTATCCTTAATCCATTATTTAAATCTGGTTGGTTATTAACCGCAGATAGCATCTCCATAGTCCTAGCAGAGAGTATGCAAACCATGGAGGTGGGTTTTAGGAATTTATTGCTGTATTTGTAAATATTTGAAAATCCTATAAAATAGAACTAAGTTCCAGTAAGATGAATGAGAATAATACAATACAATATTACATTTGCAAAGCACCTTTCACGTTGGGAGGACGTCCCAAGGAGCTGAACAGTTAGGGATTAGGCACCGGGGGATGTGGGGGTAGGGTGGGGTGGTAGGGGTTGGGATCAGAGAGGATGGAGGGAAGAGAGGGTAGGGGAGGGTGGCCAAAGGCACAGTTGAAGAGGAGGGTCTTGAGACATGCCTTGAAGGAGGCAAGGGAGGGAGCGAGGTGAAGGGAATGTGGGATGGAGTTCCAAAGGCCTGTTCAAGATCCCAATGACACTACTTGAAAAGAGATGGGAGTTTCTCAGGGTATTCTGGCAAACAATCCTCCAAACAAAATTGGTTATTCACTTTTAAAGGCGGTTTGTGGGACATTATTGTGTGAAAAATAGCTGCCAGGTTTGCCTCCAAAATACACAATCACTATACTTTGCAGTAATTCCTGTGAATCACTTTGAGATGTTTTCCTGATGTAAAAGGCACTGTATCTAATGAAAGGATTTTTATTATTATTACTTTCCTCTCCCTCACTCTTCATATTACTGCTGTGTGGACAGAACTTTCTGTCTCTTCTTGAGATAGAAAGCAATGTCCACACACTGGAAATAAACTGATCCCCACATTCTCTGATGAAAAGCAAATCCTGTATACTTTCTCAGAGACCCCTGGTCACCTTGTCTTAAGTTTGCTGAAGTCCTACAAAACTCATAGGAAACATCAGTATTGGTTTTAAGGTCATTGATACTGTAAAGTATGGGGATCCCTGAAGTATATGAAGTATATGAAGGTCGACCACGCTATCCTACTCCACCGCTTGTCCTCCCACCTCAACCTTCAAGGCACTGTCCTTGAATGGTTTAGGTCGTACCTTTCTCACCGTCTTCACTTTGTCTCGACGAATGGCTTCTCCTCCACCCCCCGCACTGTCTCATGTGGTGTCCCTCAGGGCTCTGTCCTCGGTCCCCTCCTCTTCACCCTCTATATGCTCCCCCTTGGTGACATCATCCGCAGACATGGAGTTAACTTCCACATGTATGCGGATGACACCCAACTCTACCTTTCCTCCTCTACTCTCAACTCCACGACCACCGATGTCCTGACAGCCTGCCTGTCCGACATCGAGTCCTGGACGAGAGACAACTTTCTTCAGCTCAACGTGCGAAAAACCGAGGCCCTCCTGATTGGCTCACGTCAGCGCCTCCGCACCTCAGGCGCTGACACCATCAGCATCCAAGGCTGCACTCTCCACCTCTCAAAGCCAGTCAGGAACCTCGGCGTTTTGTTCGACCCTGAGCTGTCCTTTCTCCCTCACATCCGCACCACAACTGGCACCGCCTTCCATCACCTCCGGAACATCGCCAGACTACGGCACTACCTCACCCCTCACGCTGCTGAAACCCTGGTTCACGCCTTTGTCACCTCAAGGCTGGACTATCGGAACTCTCTCCTCGCCGGCCTTCCCGCCACTCCCTCCACAAGCTGCAGGTCATTCAGAACTCTGCAGCTCGTGTACTGTCCCGCACCAGGCTTCGGGACCACATCACTCCCACCCTCGCTCGCCTCCACTGGCTCCCCATCGCCCAGAGGATTGATTTCAAGATCCTCATCCTCACCTACAAGGCCATTCACGGCCTTGCTCCCTCCTACCTCTCCAACCTACTATCCCCCTACCTACCTGCCCGTACCCTCCGTTCCTCTGGCTCCGGTCTGCTCCACGTCCCCCGCCCCAACCGCGCTACCATCGGTGGCCTTCAGCCTCTCAGCCCCCAGGCTCTGGAACTCTATACCCCAGTGCCTTCGCCGCTTCCTCCCTTTCCTCCTTCAAGGCCGGTCTCAAAACCTTTCTCTTTGACCGTGCCTTCAGCTCCCCTCTCGACTCTCTTCCCCCTCCTCGCTCCCTCCCTTCCCTCCCCTCACCCTGACCATTTCCCCCCTGCTCGGGTCATGACCCAACTGTGCAGCGCCTTGGGACGTCCTCCTGACGTGAAAGGCGCTTTATAAATGGAATCTTGTTGTTGTTGTTGTTGTATAACGTGAGTTGACATGTACTGTCACTTCAAGAGAATTTCACTGAAAATCACAAGATTTTGCTTATAAAATACTCTTTACACCATGTCCTGTGAAGCGCTTTGAAATGTTCTCCTTACGTGAAAGGCACTATATCAAATGCAAAGATTATTATTATGAGTAACAAGATAACCTTATCAGTAAACAATGACATCTTGTACTGTAAGTAAAGTTGTTTTAACCAATTACAACTGAATTTGTATGATTAAAGGATATTAGATTAAAATATTTATAGTATGTGTGTGATAGTCTCTGTAATACCATCATATCACAACGTAAACATTAGATTGCTTTCATCTCTTTATTTTTTAAAAATGAGCGAATCAACATAACGTTAAAGGAGAAATAATGACTAAAGGACTATTGCACTCATTTTCTTCCAGCTTGCTGTTTCCAGGTCAGCCTGAAGGCCAATGGAAAGTGCTGACTTCATGCATGTGAATAGAGCGCCTCTGGCTCAAGTGGAACTGTCCTCCATTCTTTGACATTGGGCTGTGACATTGGGCTGAAGCCCTCCGAGATGCTACCCTGCGTGGAGGGCGCTATATAAATGCAAGTTGTTGTTGAAAAAGTAAACTTCTATGGGAGGGAAAATACTACACTAAAGCAAATATGCAGTGTTTTCTTTCTGGTGGAAGATATCTTCTTCAAAATAATGTGCTCCTGGGGAGGAGGGAGGTAACCTCTTTGGAGTCAAGCCTTCTCCAAGGTGTCGTGCATGGCGATGGAATTCAGTCAATCCTCTATGGCAGTCCCTGTTGTGCAGTGCCTGAGACAGGTGGATGGGTCAGCAGTACATCAGAGCACTGTTGATGACAGAGCAGAACTCCAAAGAGCAGACCAGTCACGAGGGACAGGGATTCTTCTCATTTTGATTCCTGTTAATCCTACAAACCAAAGTCCCAATGAGCATAGTGGTCCTAGCTGGACAAGCAACAGAACATTTACCAGAAGAATTCTTCACATTAAGAAGGAACTTGCATTTTCATAGAACCTTTAAACTTTAACCACTTAACCACTTTAAATAATTACTGTCAACTGAAATAATTGTACTAGGAGTCAAATGTGCCAACCATTTTCTACACAGCAATCTCCCAAACATGAGATAAGTGACCAATTTATCTGGAGGATTGGTGGCTTTTTGAATAGGTTCATGAGATCTTATTAATATCCACCTCAGTTTTGTTTCATCCTCCACCTACAAAAGGAGTCCTGTATCTCAGTGGTTAGAGCACTTGCCTCGCAAGTGAGAATCCTGGGATTGATTCCCATCAGGGTGAAACATTGGGCAGGTTTCCTTTCTCCACACACTTCGGTTTACCAAGAAGTAAGTAGGAACCCGGTTGTTAGTCGATTAGCGGATCTCTTTTCTGGGGGTAATAATTCCTGCAGAATGAATTAATACAATAAATTTGTCGGTCAATTCACGACTGTTTGTGAGACACCGCTGTGTGCAATTGGCTGCCTCATTTCACCCACAAAATATAAAGTCAATTCACTTTACAGTACATTCTGTGAAGCTCTTTGAGACGCGATAAGGCACTATATGAAATGCGAGGATTATTATCATCAAACGCGCAGTCACTACATTCCAGTAATCGTGTGAAGAACTTTGACGATATCTTTCCAATGTGAAAGCCGTTACGTCAAGTGCAAGGATTATTTATTCATTAGTATTGTTATTATAATTATCCGGTGAACAGCGCTTCTGACAACGCAGAGCTCTCCTTAATAAGATTTTTTTTTTTAAAAATCAAGTCAAGCCTCAGTCTTGCCAATTTGGAAATATCTTTGTTTTTTTTCTTTCCCTCCCCCCTCCCCCCCCACCAGCCCCCCACCCCCTCAGCCCCCCACCCCCCACCCCCCCCCCCCCCCCCCCACCCCCTCAGCCCCCATCCCAACTCAGGTCCTGATGATATCTCGTGAGGATGGTACCAGATCAACCTGAGAATGAGACAGAGATGAGGTGAGGTGGTGCTGATGGCGCAGTGCTCCTGTAGGAGACGCTATTGATTGCTGCTGCGATAAGCCATTTGGTGGGTTTCAGGAATTGCTGTAGGTTTCCAGCGGTGCATAGTCCTCCTCCTCCTCTCCTCTCCTCTCCTCTCTGCTGCTCACCCACCGGAGACGGGCGCTGAGCCCAACCGCTCTGCTGCTCAGTGTCAGCCACAGCCAAGCGGCCACCGAGCACCGCTCAGCTCAGGTACACACGGCCAGTGGCCGGGGCTGGGGGGGGGGGGGCTGTTGGGGGTGGGGGGTAATGCAGCTGGAAGAGGTGGGACGCTAAGAAGGAGGAGGGGGAGGGGAAGGGGAAGGGGGAGGGCGGAAACAGCATTGAGGGGCTGCAGCCCGAGCAGAGGCAACATCTGCACCAGCGGCACCGCTGGGACTGGGAGGGTTCCTGGGGGCAGATGTGCGGCGACTGTAGGTGTTTCCGCGTGTTTCGGGGACAATAGTGTTTCCCCTTCCACTGTGTTCACACTGGGCTCTGGATGGGAAGGGGTGTCTGTGTGTGTGAGGGGTGTGTGTGTGTGAGGGGTGTGTGGGGTGTGTGTGTGTGAGGGGTGTGTGTGTGTGAGGGGTGTGTGTGTGGGGTGTGTGTGTGTGTATTGGGGTGTGTGTGTGTGAGGGGTGTGTGTGTGAGGGGTGTGTGTGTGTGGGGTGGGGGTGTGAGGGTGTGAGGGGTGTGTGTGTGGTGTGTGTGTGTGGGTGGGGTGTGAGGGTGTGTGTGTGGGGTGTGTGAGGGGTGTGTGTGTGTGTGGGGTGGGGGTGTGAGGGGTGTGTGTGTGGGGGTGGGGGTGTGAGGGGGTGTGTGTGTGGGGTGGGGGTGTGAGGGGTGTGTGTGTGAGGGGTATGTGTGTGTGTGTTGGGGGGTGTGAGGGGTGTGTGTGTGTGGGGTGTGTGTGTGGGGTGGGGGTGTGAGGGGTGTGTGTGTGTGGGTGGGGGTGTGAGGGGTGTGTGTGTGTGGGGTGGGGGTGTGAGGGGTGTGTGTGTGTGGGGTGTGTGTGTGGGGTGGGGGTGTGAGGGGTGTGTGTGTGTGGTGTGTGTGTGTGGGGTGTGTGTGTGGGGTGGGGGTGTGAGGGGTGTGTGTGTGTGGGGTGTGTGTATGTGAGGGGTGTGTGTGTGTGTGAGGTGTGTGTATGTGAGGGGTGTGAGGGGTGTGTGTGTGTGTGAGGGGGTGTGTGACTGTGTGTGTGTGTGAGGGGGTGTGGGGTGTGTGTGGGGTGTGTGTGTGTGGGGTGTGTGTGTGGGGTGTGTGTGTGTGGGGTGTGGGGGTGTGTGTGTGTGAGGTGTGTGTATGTGAGGGGTGTGAGGGGTGTGTGTGTGTGTGAGGGGGTGTGTGACTGTGTGTGTGTGTGTGTGAGGGGGTGTGTGGAGTGTGAGGGTGTGTGTGTGGGTGTGTGTGTGTGTGTGAGGGGTTGTGTGGAGTGTGAGGGTGTGTGTGTGGGTGTGTGTGTGTGTGAGGGGTTGTGTGGAGTGTGAGGGTGTGTGTGTGTGTGTGAGGGGTTGTGTGGGGTGTGTGAGGGTGTGTGTGTGGGTGTGTGTGGGGGGTTGTGGGGGGGGGGGGGAACCCTGGCTGATCTGTTAAACCACAGCGATTTCAGGAAGGCGACGATTCCCACTTCACCTCCTGAAAAATACTGAAAAGTTGGGAAGGAAAAAAGGAATCCAGAGCGCGAGTGACCAGAGTGCGCAGACAATTATTTTAGTGCCACTGTGCTGTGCGCGGCGAGACATGTCAGCCTCCCAAAAGGCTCTCGTTCATCACACGTTCATCGCATTCCGTGGCATAACTTTACAGAGTTTTGAACACTGCACCTTTCTCATCGCTAATGATTCACCAATTCTTCACTGTTTTTGTTATTTCAGGAGCGTAACGACTGTGCTTTTCCAGTCTCGAGGCTGCAACTTGCACCCAATGAGAGTCATCTCTGTCGGTGTTGGTGGGTGGGGGGGGGTAAGTTGATTTTTTTTTAGCTCAAGTGTGGAATTTTTCATGCAATAAACGTGTCGGGTAATCCAGTGTGGAATTAAGGTGAAGTGCCCGTGAACAACTGGGATGAGTCAGAGCCAAATGATCCCAAATGCTTAAGTATTTGTTTTGAAAAAGCTTGCATTTCAGTGCAGTCTAACTCACAGCCAAGTACTGTCCTGTGGTTCTCTGTCACTAACCTTTGGTCTATATTTACTAATACAGGATTTCTAATCAATTCGTTTTTGTAAATAACAGCAACATAGATGATGGAGTAGTTATTTTGGAAGGACAACAGAGTTGTGGTTCTATATTGTAGGGTTAAATATATAAGCAGATGTAATTTGCTGTTTTTTTTAAAAAAAATCTTAAGCATATCAAAACAACATTCTTATCTGTGTAATTTTTGGTGATGTAATAAACTCTGGAACCAAGCCTCCACATCAAATAATTTGCCCAGATAATTTGCATCCACTTCCATGAATGTAGAAAAGCACTATATCAAAATGCAAGGATTATTATTATTTATGTTATTACTTTCAATGTTTTCTATTTTTTATTTTGATTAAACTTGAAGTGGTGCACTTACCTGATAACATTGAAGTATCATATGCTGCTATATGTTCCTCTGTTTAGAACTCTGATAAACTGTTTTACAATATGTATAACTAAATGTCAATACTCATTTAATCGATAAACCAACGACATGAGTCAAACGTAACAGCTTATTATGTGAAACTCATTCATTAATGGGAAGGAAAGCTTTTCAAAAGGTTTTAATAACTTATATTTATAAAGCGCCCTTCAGGCAGAATAATGTCTAGAAGCATTTTACAAAGATAGAGTTGATCACCGAACAAGGGAGAGGAGGAGAGGGGAAGGGGGAGGTGAGCATTAGGCAGGGTGGAGAAGTTGGTTTTAAAGCGGGAAGTAAATACAGGTTATAGAGGGGGTGAGATGGATGAGTAAAGAAACGAAGTTCCAGAAGTTAGGGACATATAATGTAAAAGCTCGGCCACACACCATAGAGGCATGGACAGGGAGGGCATATGCAGCAAACCTGAGTTAGCCAAACTAAAAGGGTGAGCAGAGGAGCAGGTAGGAGGCAATCAGATAGGAGTGCTAGGGTATGAAGGAGAATGGTTAAGATCCATTTCCTACCTTGGGCAGCACAATTGGCTGATACGTTGGAGCTAAGAGGATCTGTGTTGCAGAGTAGCTGGGCATTGCAGGGGTTTGTGCCTGCAATTTCGCGCGCTATAAATATACCCAAGGAAAGAAGAAAATAAGCAAATGAATCTTCTTGGGCCACTCACACATTAAGCTTTTAAACCACACAGATATTAAAAGCAGCCTGGATACAGAGTGGGAATTGAAGAAAACAAATAAACCTTTTCAATTAAATATATCAACATACAGGCTTCTACTCCAGGAAAGAATCTGTCATAACTCAAGATTTTTTTCTATTGTTTTTTGTGCTTTTTTTCTCAACGTGAAAAGCGCTATACAAATGTAAGCTTGTTGTTGTTGTTGTTGTTGCTTAGGTGAATAACACATAGAGGAAGCATTTAAGAATTGTCTTCCAATCAGTTGGGGGTGTAAACATCCTTCCAGAATTATAGAAAATATATAATGTCTGGAAGCAAAGTACTGTATATGTAAAATATTCGTTGGTTTATTGTATTTTGTGAACTGTATGATTATTGGAAGTCAGACGATAAAAATAAATTTCACATAATTCTGAAAGTTGAGGTCCTTATTTTGTGAATTGTTGTTGCACAGTATTCCTAATAGATGGAGGTTTCTGATCCCCAGAGAGCTATATTTTGGTGTAAATGAGGGGACTGCGCGCCAATGTATATGAGAGACAGTACTGTGTGTAGAAGGGGTAACTCTCTAATGTGTATAAGGGGAAAGTACTGTTGTGTACATTAGTACTGTAAGTAAATGAGGAGCGATGATGTAATATGAATCAGATGGCAGTTTTTACAATTTAACTGATACATTTGTGTTGTCAGAAACATTAACTACTGGATCCAGAGGTGGCTTATCTTGCTGTGTACGGAGGCAGCAGTTCCCAATCATAATTTGTGGCTTTGGAAAGAACTGTTCATCTGCGAGTTTGCTCACGTGTAGTTGTTTCTGTGCTGTGAATTCCATCCCATCATGTAAACAAGTTCTGTCCACAGCATCTGTACCTCAAGGAACTGCAGAGACGTTTGTGTTCTTTGCAGAATTCTCTGCAGTACTTGAAATAATCGTGTGACATATATTAGTTGTTAGAGTAGACAGCAGCATCTCATTTAGCCTTAAAATACACCTGTTTATTTGTTTATTAACTAATAAACTGTAAATTAAGCTTTTACTGGCTGCTCCCTTAAAATAAAGTGCAGTTTGAGAACAATAAAGGTGTCTCCTAGAGGAGGGAGGAGCCATTTTCTATCCCTGCCTGTATATAATTGGGCCTTATCGATTGAGAAATGTTTTAATCCTGACTTTATCATATGTCACAAAGTAATAAAACAATAGTGATTCATAAATCTAACAGATTTCTGTAGATAGGCCTCAGAGAGGATCTTATAAAATATACAAGATTTCAAATGGGATTAAGAAAGTAAACCCAGAACAATACTTTCGGATACATAACAACAACAGAACAAAAGGGCGCAGTTCAGGGTTGCAAAGGACAATTTCAGGAAAGCTATACTTTACCCAAGGGACAATTAGAGACTGGAACAGATTACCAGCAAAGGTGGTTGAGGCCAGGATACTGGATTTATTTAACAAATCCCTTGATGTTGTAATGGGAGGATGGGTATTCTGTCAGGATGAGGTCAAATGATTCAAACGGCCTTCTTCACGATGCGCTTTTTTGTGGTGTTTATAGTTTGATTTTTATAACAAATGTACAGCTGTGATAGTTTTTGAGTGTATGTTTCATGTTTATCAACTGGTAACTTATTTTCAAACACTTGGTGCACAACTAATAGAACCATAGAAATTTACAACGCAGAAGAAGGCTATTTAGTCGATCACATCTGTGCTGGCTCTTTTAAGAGAAATCCTACGAGGTACCATTTACCTGCTCTTACCTCCGTTAGTTTACTCCTTTTAGATATTTATCTAGTTTCCTTTTGAAAGCTAATATGGATTCTGCCTCAACCACCATTCCCTGGTGGACATTCAATATCCTAAGTACTCTGCGTGAAAAAAATTCTGGTGATTGTAAAGGGAAT